CAGGTTCCAAAGGATATACATATGTCCTAAAGAACCGAGTATACCCTCTACCCTTGGCATGCCAACTATACCTATAGTTCTCATCTACATAACATGGGCTTATACATTTCCCGTAGTTCATATCGCGTAGACATAGTATTTCCATACCTTTAACACATAGGCATATCATTTACATACCTTTATCACATAGTGCATATAACTTTTCTGCATAATCATGTCATGTAATACATATAATATGAATTCATGTCATGTAATACATTTAATACAAATTCATGTCATGTATCATAATATGGAATGTAATCATATGTCAAAATATGGAATCTAGACTTATCACAAGTCTAGAACTGAATATACTACTATATTCATGCTATGCATATGCACTCACCTATACTTCTTTGCCTTTTCCTCGATCGATCCTACTTGTAGATTGTTCCCGAACTCGAGTAGGCTCGGTATCTATATAAACATAATTTTCAAGATGATCATCAGACGTCTATGTCTTGAAATTAAGCTTTAATAGCTTACTAATTAAAAGAATTAATAGCTTAGTCTTGCTTTCTTTTCTTTCTTCTTCTTTTTCTCATGGGGGAATCGGTTCCCCCCCTTAGGGGTATCGATTCCCCTCAAGCAGTCTGGAATTTCATATACGATGAGGGGTATCGGTTCCCCCCATGGGGGTAACGATTCCCCTCTAGCATTCTGGAAATCATATTCGTTGAAGGGGTATCGGTTCCCCTTGAATGGGTACCGATTCCCCTAACCCAGAAATCCTATTTTTAGCCCGAAAATCATCTAATTTCAACTCAAACATACATATCTCAATCCCTTTACTACTCTTAGCTCTCATTCACTTACTTAAACTAATTATTATCCATTAAATACCTCTAAAACTTAGAAATCTAATTCTCCATGTAGCATTTAAGAATCCAACTCAAATTCCAATATGTTCTAATTTGAATTCTAACCCCTCATACTTCTTAATTAGCTTATTGACAAGTCAAAATTCTGATTCAAACATCAAAAACTCATCCATATCAAAATCTCATCTAAAAACTCATTTTCCAAATCTATCTCTAAAACACTAATCTTGTTGTTTTAATGTCATATAAGCTTTCCTTTAGCTTATATAACATCCAAGCTTTCATTTCCAATCATAAAACATCAAAGAAACTACCAAGTTCAGATTCTTACCTTAAATGCAAGCCCCACGTTGAGAGAAGGAAGAATGAAGAAGAAATGGGAGGTTCTGGAACCTAAAATCACACGTGGGTATCATATATACCCCATAACATTTTATTTTAATTAAAATTCCTTACCAATGACCATTTGGTCCTCACCTTAATCTCATATTTACCAACCTTTATTTTTAAACTATATAATTGTTCTACTTTAATCACCAAATATTGAAACTTTGCAATTTAATCACTAACCCGGCATGGAGGATGTTACAATTATCAGATGAAATAAGGGGCTTAACTCTTGATTGGAAAAATGGTAAAATCATACTTTAGGCCCTCTTCCTTTTATTTCATAACAGTCTTGTCCCCAAGGCTTAATACTTGAGCCCAAACCAAGACCAAATCCTATTTAATTTTAATCTAACTATCTTACTAAGCCCTTTGGGCCTTATTAATGGGTCTTGGGTCAACACGAACTACTAACCCGTGATTTGGGGTATTACAATAATAATTTAATTAGATTGCTTGAACGGTGAATGCGTACTTTTAAAAGACTAAAAAAGGAGGATGAATAACGAGACTATCTGAAGCTTCGTGTTTAAAATATGTGCAAATCTTGTTGGGTGAAGCTTCTGAAGGTTAATATATAAACACACTTGCTGTATGAATATTTTGTAATCATATCATGAATTAATTGACTTGTATTTATGCTAAATTTTAACTATGTTATAATGACGTACCATTCATTTCAATTGTTATGGAGGTAAGTTGCTTATGCATGATGTATAAACTTAGTGTCCATCCTGTTATTTTAAATGGTTTAGATAATTATAAGGTAATATATGTTTAGAACTTTCTAAATCAATTGATAACACATATACATTCTACAGTCGCAACTGTTCGAACCAAGACATCTAGGGAGAACTCATCTTATTTTTCTTAATAGTTTATGGTGATCACAAGATAATATATGTTTATAATCTTTCTCAACCACCGACAACTCACACCATATAAACATAACTAGCCAAATCAAGCGGATGGATTCACCCATTCTGTTTTTTAAGCGTTTATGAACGGATTTATATTCATTTAGGGTTGTTAATTAAGGAATTAGAAACTGGGAAAACACCAAGGTCTACGGAATAAATAACTATTGCCGAGCTTTCAGCTAAATTAATTACGTTATCTACTTTATACAGTTTTTTTCCTCCTGGAAGTGTGTGGTTGAGGTACATAGTCAAATGAAGTGGCCATAGTTTAATTTGATGTTGTTGGTTTGAAAGTGCGACCATTCAAGTTACGAATTAAAGCAATAGAAAACAATGAACCAAATACGTACAAAGCAGTCCACTTTCCACCTCATGCTTCTCTACTTGTGTGTTGGGATGGAATACATATAAGTCATGATATTATTGGTCGATTGTATTGTTTTTGTTTTTGTCTGAGCCTTGGGTCAACTGGCGAATGAATCAATTCCACTCAAACGCCCCTTTCACTTCATTTTCCATTTCATTTCCTTTTGAGGAGAATGTACACATATGCCATTAAGGTTTACGTATAATGATAATAGTCAAACCCGAGATGAAAGGAATAAAAATGTCAATTTATCAATGTTGTATCTCCTCTTAACCTTCTTCGTAAATTGTTACTCCGTTATTGATTTTTCGTCAAGGCCTAATGTATGGTTCATATGATTTCTCATAATCAAATCTATTATCTGATAATAATATCTACAAATTATGTCAGTTTACCAACAATTGTCCTTACCCTAAATTTGACATCGACACTAAGGGTTGGTATATAGGATATTGTATATGATCGGAGACATAGATGAACCGAGGAGAAGGGTGAGAATAGTCGGCCTCTTAAAATTTAAAATTATCATATATTAGATTTTTCTATTGAAAGCATATAAGTTGAAGTTTTATAAGTTGAAGTTCTCCCTCCTAACATAAAATTATATGTCCGTCCCTGACTGAAGAAAAAATCTTAAACTCTCGATCTCTCTTTAAGCACCGTATATCATTTTCTTCGGCTCACTGAAATTATCGATCGTGGCTTTCATCCAAATCGAAAGAGATGGATTATATACCATAAAAAAAATTTCCATCAACAATAAAAAAATAATTGAATATAATAATAAAATATAGTGTTTTAATATTATTATAAAAATATTTTCAACCTCACACGTTGACAGTAAAATAAATATGAAAAATAGAGAAAAAAGTCAAATTATACAAAATATCTTAAATACATTTATGAAACAGAGCAAAAGCGAATTTGTCCAAATGACTGAGTCAGTGGCACCCTACTCCTAATTAAATCCCGAAGTGAATAAAATAAAGGGTGGATCTGTTCAAACTCATCGTTAATTCTGGTTTTTGACGGACTGTACTTCTCTTATCCATGCACGCATGCTGCTACCAAATGGATTTTTTTAATTACAATGCTAAAAAATTAATTTAATTTCATATTTTTTAATTATAAGTTTCATTAGGGTTATCAAATTTGAAGTTCTCAATGCACAATATATACAAATATATATTTTTTGAAGGTCAATATGTATATATATATAAATATAAGCAAAAGGGGTGTTTGATTATGGTCAATATGTACAATTTGAAGTTCTCTTAATAAGATCTCAATATATTTCCAGCAAAACATAGGTTTTTCTATATCCATATAAGGAAGACAATACATCTCAAACTTCGTTCAACATACAATATTTCTCATAAAATTTTACATTTTCATGTAGTTTAAATATTTTTTTTGTTTATATTGATAATCTAATTTCGTACTTAAAATATTATAAGTCCGTCTCCTCTGATATAAAATTATGTGTTTATCTATGAGGATTATAAATTATAATTTAAGAGAGTTGAAGCACATATAATGTGTGGTTGGTGAAGAATTGATGTAATTTATATTATATTAAAGGACTTAGATCATAGTATATAATTTACTTTCGGAATTATAAATATTTTATCTTTAAAAATTAATGATAAAAAAATATTCAGCATAAACTATGATGAAATGGGGAGTAAAATTGAACATGTTGCCGAGTCAAAACGTTTATAAAGACTGTGTACGAAGCAAGTGGTAAAATGAAGTTGATTTCTTATTTTCATAACAAGGGATACAAATCGCGGTAACGATCGTGTTTTCGGTCATGTCGTGTTTACCGTGATTGTGATTATAACAGATGCTATTACGAATATAACGGGTATATCAAAAGGCAGTGTTACCGCTATTTCGTAGGTACTATCGCGATTGCGGACTTCTATTTAAAATCGTAACAATTTTTTGACCAAAACACATGAGGGATTGATTTATACATGATGATCTCATTGAAATGTACTGGTCCTGCTCCCGGGAAATAACATAGAATTCTTTACCGGAAATATTAAAAAATATTAATGTTTTAGGTAAAAAAATAACATTTCCGATAATTTTTTTACCGAAAATGTTAAAAAAAATAATAATATTTCCAGTAACTCATTTCCTTAGCCGTATATTAAGGTTGTCGTACGGCAAAACAATCCTCTCTCATTTAGAGACAAATTAGATTTTATATTACGATACTGAATTTATAAAAAATAATTAATATGATAAAATGATAAATAGAATATATAAGAATTTAAATTTTTTAGGGATAATCATACATCCGCTCTCTAGGTCCACCATGCTCTCATCCATTAAGAATAGTCAAGCACTGACATGTCTTACTTTGACCAGCCCCCATGTTAATGATGCATTGCTAACCAAGTCCCTCTATATTCATACTATATAGCTAAACATAACTTCAAATTAATAACTATGAACTAGCAAAGAAGCCCTTGGAACCATGAGTGAGATCCTATCTGGTTCTTCCTCTGAATGGATGCAACTGAATCAACAAACGTTCGATACGTCGTTCGGATTCTCCGATGCTGCTGCGGTCACTCTCACCGCAAACCAGTTAACCCCTGTAGTCGCCGGTGACGAGCACTTGGCCCCCAAGGGCTTAATATCGAAGCCTATTCGGAGACGGTCCAGAGCTTCTAAATCAACGCCCATCACGCTCCTCAATGCCGATGCCAAAAACTTTCGATCGTTGGTGCAACAATTCACCGGTTGCCACCGTCGTGGCACCTCCATTTCGTTCGCCGATACCACGAGAGGCCCTGTCAATATAAATTTCGCACATGCGAAGGCTAAGAACGACCGCCACTGTAATTACAGGACTACTTGGGATCATGGTCCGATACTATCGCAGCCGTTTGTTGACACCAAGCATGAACAACAACAATACGAGTGCCATTACCAGTACCAGCGGCAACTGTCAAATGAAGAACAAGAAGGCGAAGTTTCTTTTGACAGAATTAGTTTGGATGATGATTTGTTCGCACAAGGGTTTGTCATGGATGATGTGCTTTTCCTTGCATGAAGTCCGAGCTTTAGCTTTACTATCAATTCCTTTATCATCTTACTATGTAATCACCTTTTGTATTAAATTACTGTATTTATTGCTCGTAGTAGTGAGATATATTTCAGTCAATAAAATTAACTACGTACTGAATCTGAACTGTGTTCGTCTTCATCATTAAGTGTTTAAGAATTGTCGTAATCAGAGTGTTGTCCCTTTTCCGTAAGAATAATTTTCATACGTAACATCTTTGGATAATTTTTCTGCAACTAAAATTTTGGGGAAAATATTTATGTGTATTAGAACTGAACGTGTATACCTTCCAAGAAATTACATAGATTAATATTTCTTCATGCTTGAAAATTGATACACATATTACATTTCCATCATTAGGGTTAAAAGAATCAGTATTTTATTAACGCTATCACACAGTGATATATATGTCCAGTTTTGATGTATAATTATATATGATCATTTTTAACTTTAATAATTGAATACTGTCTCATAAATGAGTCATCAGTTCAAAACAATTACTTTTATGTGTATTCTGAATGCAATCATTAACAAGTGAGGGTGTACTTGGCAAATAGCTATACTTCGTATATAAAAGTACATGGGACTCATTAAATGGTCTTAACGATAAAAAATAAATATTGTTTTCTTTAAAAATCTCATATTTACGCGTTGTCAATATATTAGAAAAATATATGAATATATATTATCTTATAATTATCTCGTTTTTTTTATTATAAAAAATGCATTATAATTACCTCAAATTTTGTTTCATATGATGAATCTTCAAGATCTTAGTGTTAACTTTAAGCGTCCTTTGTATTTTCATCCTTTCAACATGTAAGAGGCTTTGTTTATTTTACATTAGCTTTTGAGGTTTAAAAATTATAGCATTTGGACTAGATCCATGCACATAGCTATAATTGTTAAGAACAGGTTTGGTTTTATAGATGATCCTTGCATAAAATGTGTAACACTTCTATTCAATCTGGATGTATAGTCCAAATATAAATAGTTTCGTTCAAATATTAAAATGATAACAATTCGGAGTCAAATAAAATTTTATCACACAATAATAATTAAATAAAGTATAAGTGAAACAATATAAAAATTTGAGACATTTACACAATTCGAGTTTGTGAAGTGTCAGCAACAAGCAAATGCAATAGCCAATATGCAAACAAGTCAAGGTAGAATGGGTATTTGATTACAATACCATAAGTTTGATTATATCAAGTCAAACATTTTATTATATGAACTAAATGAAGTAATATCATTTTTAACTCAATTTGAACACACTTAATATGAACTTTAATTTAAACCGTGTAAGTCAATCATATAACATCATTTGTATACTCTGGTTTACAAATCTTTAACTTTATACATAATCCATTGAACGACTTTAGTAATAAAATGGAGATTCCAAGTTCGAGTAACTACATCTATAAAGTGCATGTATTTATTATCAATTGACTGATAAAATTTTGAACAAATGCTAACTTATAATCATCCCGTACTAATAAAAGAAATGACATATTCCCATTAATAAAAGATGTGTGATATCTTGCACTCATTTCTACAGGAGTTTTCATTTGCCCGATGCAGTAACAAACCAAATAGAAATAATGTGTTATATACCCACAATTCGTGCTACACCAGACGTTAATTTAATGCCACAATGTGAACTGGAATGACTTCACATTCACAAGGATCAATTTTACAATCATGAAAAAAGAAAAAATTGCACGACTCAGATCGCTTGAAGATAACAAAGAGAAATGGCAAAGCTTACAGCAGCAAGAAACAAAGTTTGTTCCACATGCTATCACCAGGTTAGATCAGCTGAACGAAGCTCATTGTGCAGATGAAAATCTCCATTGTTGGCAGCCGCAAATAGTCGTGACCTCGCAAAATGGAGCCAAGGCACAAAAGAAGCCATGACAGGCCGGCAACACTATATATTTCATTCCTCTTACACTAACTTTACACGAGAGATGTCCTAAATATTCCTATATATGATAGCTAATCACTCGCTGCATCACGCCTACAAAAATTCGAGCACATCAAAAAAAATATTTGTTTTTCATTGTTTACTCGTGTATACCAGCATCATTGTCACTCACAGGATGATCTGACACGGTGCCTTCTGATGATATTTCCTCTACGTTAGGCTGTTCAGGCCGAGAATGATCAGTCTGAGTCTTGCTAGAATCCCCACAATCAGGCTCATCCTGTTTCTCCTCTGGCTCTGGAGATTGATCCTGGACACCAATGGGTGGGCTCAGTTTAGCCTTCCCTTTGTAAGACACACCTTGTGAATCTGGATATCCAGCTTCGGTAACAGGCATAGGCAATGGAAGTTTGCCATCAAGTAAGCTAGAACTCGTAGTGCCAGAAGTTGATGACAAGTGTGGCCCTGGAGCGACACAAGATGCTACCAGCTGAAGCACTTCAGGGGAGGGGGATAATCCCATGCTTGATTTCTTTGGTGGAATTAGATACGCCGATGAAGATGATGGATTCATCACGCTTAAGTTAAGAGGAGGCCTGCTGAAATCAGATTCAATCAAAGGAGGCCCTGCGGTTCCAGTTATTGATTGTGGAAGCAAATGAAATGGTGGTGCCAGTGGAATTGAGCATGGCGGAGAGAGCCTACTACTTCCAGTTGCATCCGGCAGGACCTGCCTAAACGTGTGCAACTTCCTTTTCTTCTTTAAACCATGTCTCGGATCCTTCGGTTGAGGAGGAGGGGGGCCAGGTGCCACAAATGGGGGAATGGTAGGCTTACCTTCTCCATACAGCACACGAACTGACTCAGCTATTGCTGAGACAGTTGGTGGTAGATCAGAATCTAGAGGTTTGGCAGGAATGCTAACAGCTTCACGAAGCCAGTGAGGTAACTTGTTCTTGGAAGAACAGTTTCCAACTACCCTTCCCTTTGAATAGGAAAGATTCAGCCCTTTATTTGGATCAGGATGAATTGCACCAGAGCTAGCAGATTCACCGCTTCCACCATTATTGTGGGAATCGCGTAACAAATTTAGTGATCTATCAAGAGCAGTAGGCAATTTCCCATACTTCATTGTACCAGTCATCTTCCTTCATCTGAAAATCAAAGCTACTGGTGCAATTCAAACTTGAAGCCAAGTTACTGGCTCCAAAAGAGTTGAGAAACAAAGGTTTCTCACTAGATAAATTTGCAGACGGCCCTGGCCTATCAGACGGCCAGCAACTGAATCTCCAGAGAAGTTTGCTAGAGATTTGTCAGAATTCCATGTTGGAATAGGAGGAAGATTATCATTTTGCAAACCAAGCAGATCTGATAGCTCAGAGTGAGGCAGGCCGGAAGCTAGATCACTGAAACCCAATTTCAGTCAGTCAGGTGCGCTTGAAATTTTGATGGTGCAACAAGCCTACTAACCTGCAATGCCCGCGTCATCATTCCATCAGGAATGCTCGGAAACAAGGAATAAGGTTTGGTAGCTTTTGTTAGCTTGGGGAATTTCGGAACTGGAAATGCCGGTCCATCCAAAATTTTGAGTTGTTCCTCCTCCCACCTAGTTGCCAAATCTTCTGAAGTTCTATACTTGGAAAATTTCAGCCTGGGGTCTCTAAGCGTGGCATCCCAACTACCTCGTCCATGTCTACGAAAACCAATCCAGAGAAAATCACGTTCATCTTCTAACCAGCCCTCTACTTTCGATTTCTTTTTATACATGTTCCCGGATCCAGATCCAGTTCTCATCATGATATTTTCAAGCACCCTCCTATGGTTTTCAGGAAAAGAAGAAATGGATGGCAACTGACCCAATCCCAATGTTGGAGGCATGTCCCTCTCTTGTTGATTATACCTTGGCACATCTTGTGGAGGAAATTTCAAATTGGGTAGCAATGGCATTGTTGGAAGGTCTTGCACTGATTCATTCACAGCATCAAGCCTACTGCCTAAAGATAAGCTAGGTAATAGGTCAGGATTTGATATCATCATGCTTTGGTAGGAAGGGAGAACCGGGCAGCAAATTCTCATCAAAAGGTATATTAGGCAGCGACATCTTTTCCTGAAAATCAGAAGAACTAGCACCAGAACTTTCTAACCAAGCGGAAATTTTTCCTTGTGGAGCGGCAGGAGGATACTGCAAGGAAGCATGTCTTGTCACCATATTTTAATATGGACTGGAAGGTTTTGTATTTGAAAACTAAAGAAAACAAAATGTTGATAAAGAGAGTTACCGGATTAAATGGGAGCCAACCATCTGGTAATGCATTTTGCAATTTAAATTTGTCCAAGGTAGTCTCTTGACCTTTTGTTTCTTTCTCAGTTGAAGGTCCAGTAGTTGGAGCTAAACTGAATGGAAACTCTGGTCCAGTTTGTGCCCTGCTTTGCCAACCATTTAATCTGAGAAGCTTTTATGAATGAGCCTAGTTGACTAGCATTATGGGCACAAAGCCCAAGAACTGGCAACAAGTTAGTTGTTGGTAGAGAGTTGCTATAATTTATGCCTTGATGATTGTTATTTGGAAGGATTCTTCGGGAGAAGACTGATGAAGAATATTAACAGAAAGATCCAACTGTCCGCATCTTTTATGTTTAGACAACCTCCCAAGCCTTAAAATGGAATCATCTTTCCTCTTTGGTTCATCTGATGATTGACCAAGTTTCTCATCCTCCAAGTCAATTACCAAACACCTCTCTTTATCTTGCTGTTGGACTGATTTAGTAACACGATCCCATCTCTTTCATTTTCTGAAGGCAACTGAGATACCGACTCAAGTCCAGGAAATCCCTCACTGAGACGAGCTTCTTCAATTGCATTTCTCCTAGCAAGCCGTTCTTTTTGTCGAGCACGGAGTTTAGTACTGTCAAAATGGATTATAGAGTAAATTAATGCACCCATGATATAGAAAATTTAAGAATCTATCCTTCTAAATTACTTGAGAAAAGTTGCATTTGTGAAAGTAAAAGATTGGGTGGAAATGAACGCAAAATTTGTCGAAACGATTTTTTTCTAAAATGTGAAAAAAGTGAGATTTTAAAAACCACATTAA